CAGTAAACATACATTCGTCTAAAATTAATTTTCTTATTGGCCTATTCATTTTGACTAACCCTGTACAATGGTTGCTGATGACACGATAAATAAATTATCCACTCATATATACACACACAAAACACATACACAGACTGGGCCGCAGCAACGCATGGCAGGGGGTGGCTAGTCTTATATAAATGTATATATCTATTGATACACTAATATAAATGTTTATTTATACCCCGCTTTTTCTCTCCACAGCAGAGGTTGGCAAACATTGCTTTCCCCTGAGGCTGAGAGAGTGAGAACTCCCCTCCCTTGAAGTCACACTCTCTCAGCCTCAGAGGAAGGCACGGCTGGGAGGAGATTTGGTGGCTGGGAGGGGAGGTTTCCATGGCCAAGATGTGAATTCTAGCCTCTTAGTTCAACACTCAAATGACCACGTGGGGCTGGGTCTATGTTCTGGCTCAGAGCAGCTGTGGGGTCTCTCTTTTGACCCCTTGAGTCCAAAAGGGCGGTTGGGGACCCTTTCCCGTTCTGCTTCCTCACCTGTCTCCTCCTTCCCCAGTGTACACCATCTTTGCCTTCCTGGAGTACCTGGTGGTACTCTCCAACATGGCCTTCCACTTGACCGCCTGGTGGGACTTTGGCAGCAAGGAGCTGGTGGTCAGCTCCCAGCCGGAGGAGAAGCGCTTCTAGCAGAGACCTTCCCTCGGGCCTTCGCTCCCCTCCCACCTTCTCCTCATGGCTGGACGTCCTTCAGGTCCCTCGTGAGGAGGCCTCGCCTATGTGGAGTTGGGGAGACCCCAAAGGCCATCCAGTCCAGCCCCCTTCTGCTGGTTCAAGCCTTACCCAGGTGGTCCTGGTGCCAGAGGTGAACTATGTGGTGAAATGGACCTCGGACTGACTTCTGCCCAGAGAAACGGGACACTCGTTGTGATGACGACCCAAGCGCACATCCCGCTGCCAAGCCAAGGCCAGAGGAGGGTGGAAAGAAGGCCGCCACGTCTCCCACCACGTCCCTCAAAGGCGTAAGTGGCTTCAAGGCAGTGCTGCACCTCCAAGAATCATGTCATTGACAGTGCACAGCTGTGAAGGTAAACCTGAGTGGGAAAGGTGTCAAAAATTTCCTTCCCAATCCTTAGCAGGTGATTGCAGGTGAGGAGGTATAAATAACTTCCACACAGACTATCAAGGTAGAAAATCCCACAATATCTGCTTTGAACCGGGTTATTATCTGAGTCCACACTACCATATATTCCAGTTCGTAGCAGATCATGTGGGGTTTAATTCAGCTGTGTGGAAGGTGGTCCCCAGTCTGGCCAAAGTTGGAGACCCACCTGGCTGTGGGACAAGGACCTTTCCAAGCATCTCTTCCCCTCTTAAAAGTGCTTCATGTCCTGCGGCGCACAGTGGAGCCAGAGGCCCATGTGGCCAAACCGTGTGACAGTGGCACTGCTGGCCACTGGCTGGAGTGGAGAAGGTGCAGCCGGTGCAGAACACGAGGTGGCCTTCAGGATTTGCAAATGTGAGAATGTGTGGATGTGTGGTGTGACTGAGTGGCATGAAGATTGGCCTTTCGTGCAGCCTACTAGCCATTACAACAACAATAACAATAATAATTTAATGTATTGTCGAAGGCTTTCATGGCTGGAATCACTGGGTGGTTGTAGGTTTTTTCAGGCTATATGGCTATGGTCTAGAGGCATTTTCTCCTGACGTTTTGCCTGCATCTATGGCAAGCCTCCTCAGAGATAGAGAGGTCTGTTGGAACTAGGGAAATGGGTTTAGATATCTGTGGAATAATGACCAGAGTGGGACAAAGGACTCTTGTCTGCTGGAGCTAGGTGTGAATGTTTCAACTGACCACCTTGATTAGCATATAATGGCCTGACAGTGCCTAGAGCAAACTTTTTGTTGAGAGGTGATTAGATGTCCTTGTTTGTTTCCTCTCTGTTGTTGTGCTGTTGTAATTTTAGAGTTTTTTTAATACTGGTAGCCAAATTTTGTTCATTTTCATGGTTTCCTCCTTTCTGTTGAAATTGTCCACATGCTTGTGGATTTCAATGACATCTCTGTGTAGTCTGACATGGGCAGACTACTTCATCCAGAGAAATCAGCCATAGCAGAGCACCTGATGAACCAACCTGGACACAGCATTTTATTTGAGAACACAGAAATGCTGGACCACTCTCACAACCACCATGTCAGACTACACAGAGAAGCCATTGAAATACACAAGCATGTGGACAATTTCAACAGAAAGGAGGAAACCATGAAAATGAACAAAATCTGGCTACCAGTATTAAAAAACTCTAAAATTAGAACAGCAGAACAACAAGAGAGGAAGCAAACAAGGGCATCTAATCACCTCTCAACAAAAGTTTGCTCCAGGCTCAGTCAGCCCATTGTATGCTAATCAAGGTGGTCAGTTGAAACATTCATACCTAGCTCCAGCAGACAAGAGTTCTTTCTCCCACCCTGGTCATTCCACAGATATACTATAAACCCATTGTCCTAGTTCCAACAGACCTCACTACCTCTGAGGATGCTTGCCATACATGCAGGCGAAACGTCAGGAGAGAATGCCTCTAGACCATGGCCATATAGCCTGAAAAAACTTACAACAACCCAATAATAATTTATTTATTTGACTAGTCATATGACCATTTCAAAATACAACACAAATACAAGACAAAAATGAGAGGACAGCAGCTGACCTTCTGTTTACAGTCAGAGTCTTATTTTCCTGGTTCTTCTTTCAGGAAATCCGCTCTTTTCTTGATGGCTTTCCGAATAAAAAGGCTGACTCTGATGATGGTGGATCTTTCTTGTCCTTGCAAGAGGAATGTCAGAAGATCATTTATGTTGGGGAACCTGCAGTTGGATAATATCGGATGTAAATATCTGTATCACAGTTTAGCATATACTAGCCATCCTCATGCGTGTGAAGGCACACACGACAATGGCTATTAACCTGCTCCATCGGCTCTTCATGCAAACCAGGTGAGAGAGATGGTGTGGGTCAGTTTCCCTCCAAACTAGATGTTTGGAGGGAAACTAAAATGATCAAGATGTGGGGAATGCCGTGGATGGAGCGTACCTGGATTTCAGGAAGGCCTTCTTTGACAAGTTCCCCCATGACCTTCTGGCAAGGAAATGAGTCCAATGTGGGCGAGGCAAAACTACGGTGAGGTGGATCTGTCATTGGTTAAGTGGACGAACACAGAAGGTGATTCTCCACAAGGCTTCCTCCTCTTCATCCTAGAAAGAAGTGACAAGTGGAGTGTCATCCGGAGGGTTCTGTCCTGGGCCCGGTCCTGTTCAACATCTTGATTAATGACTTAGATGAAGGGCTAGAAGGCAGGATCATCAAGTTTGCAGACGGGACCAAATTGGGAGAGCCAATACTCCAGAGGACAGGAGCAGGATTCAAAACGATCTTGACAGATGAGAGATGAAGGGCCAGAACTAACAAAATGAAGTTCAACGGGGACAAATGCAAGATACTCCACTTTGGCAGAAAAAACGAAATGCAAAGATACAAAATGGGGGAGAATGCCTGGCTCGAGAGCAGGACGTGTGGAAAAGATCTTGGAGTCCTCGTGGACAACAAGTTAAACATGAGC